TATAATGTGACGGTCAATCCCACTATTTGTTGGTAAGAGCAGCCCAAAAATTGATGGTTGGCGATGTTGACTAGTTGCCTACCCTCTAGTATATCACTTCCAAATTAGGGACGGCTAATTAGATAGCCCTATAGTAACTTTGCGCGAAATTTGATAAACAAACAAATTCATTAGCCTAAAGATAGCTCGTTGCTAAGGACTAAATGTCGCAGTTTTAACTGATTAAAAAAAAAACCTTTCCACAGTAAGGTTGTTCACGATATTAAGGTTAGTTGTGTGCTAATTGAGACGCCATATTTTCCCCACACATAAAATCACAAAACAGTGAGATTGATCTCTTGGACATAATTCATTTGCCTACAAATAACACTTTCGTGTCTTATCTCACAAAATACACAAAACATTTGAAGTAAGAAAAAAATCTTAGTTAGTTTATAAAATATGCCTCTCATAGGGTGTTGCAAAGGGATAAAATAAACTTTGTTTCTTTTTGTAATAAGTTTATTATATATTATATGAAACAAAGTACACAAATTCGCTAACAGTACACAATAGGATTGTATGATTCCTTTAAGCTATAAGGATCAGCTTGTTCAAACTTTAAAGTACAATGGTAAAAATATGCACTAATGGTAATAAGTTTATGACAAAACTATAAAATATTACAGTAATCGATTAAAATACATTGTAATATTTCTTATCTATTTTGTATCTAATACAATTATATTCTTCCGCCAGTTTTTCTTGAAAACACTAAATAATGCAAGGCCTAAACTCCTGTTCAATCTTTTTACGGGATTTGAACATCGATTAATACCTTCTTACCTAAAAAAACAACAAATAATGTATCCTCTACTGGTAGAGTTAAAATAAATCTTCTTAGCATAGAGACTCTTAGTTTCTTGCTTATTTGTTGTTAAACGCAAAGCTACACAATGGGCTGCTCATCGCAGGTATCAAAACCTGATTTTAGCGTTAAAAGCCCCAGATTTACTACTCAGCCACAGTGGGCTACATTTCTTATGAATGTTTTTTTCATATTCAATTCCCATATCATAAAAATCACCAAGCAGCCATGAATATACTTTAAATCAGTTTCTCTACTCGAGATTATGCTATTTTGGGTTGTTTTAACGCAAAACTACACAAAGGGCTATCTGCTCTGTCTATCGCAGGAACCGAAGCCCGGATTTTACCTTTTTAAGTTCATAAACTTATTGCTGACCTACCGAGAGAGCATGAGATGATAAACATGCACATGTTTATTATTCTATTATAAAGTTTATATAGGTTATTACTCTAATATGTTTATAAAGAAACTTCATAATAAATATAAAATAATTTTCATAGCTATTATATTCATAATTCGTTTAAGTAATTAATTAAAAAAGCATTGATGAAGAAGATTCTTTGATTTCAACATTTCTTTATTTTGTCATCAAACACAAGCCATGAAGTCCGATAATAATCTACACTCTAACAACGAAACTTAATTAATTTGCTGTTTATTACCACATTACGTTCAAGAGTTGTATAAGGTGGGAGAAGGAAGAAAATAATTTTTAAATGTTTGTTATGTTCGATTAATTACTAATAACTAAATCTCAGCCATTATCAATAGTAATAGATACAGGTTAGAAGATTAGAAGTGTCAAGGTGTGCACAAGATGGCAAAACTTTGGAAATCAAGAACAACTGAGAGAAAATATATTACTTCTGGTTAATCACACAGAAGAATATGTATCAATATTGCTAAATGGTGTCAAACCAAAGGGCACAGTAAGTTCTCCAATCAAACAGACAGATTCACAAAACAGAAAGTTTAAGATAACAAAAGACTACAGAATCACACCTCAAGCCATCCAGATTAGCACCTTCATCCCTAAAGTTACAAAAAGAACCCTCCAATCCCAAAAGTCACTAAAATGAAACTGGGTTATCTCCTGATTCTGTACCAAAAATATTATACAAGGGTTTCAAGTGACTGAAGACTCATAAGCCTTAAGTTCACATGCTTTGAAATTAAGAGCAAAGTTTAAGAGAATTACGTGAATCATAACAATCTCATTTTACCTATTTACACATGGCCTTAGAAGCCAATATTCAGGTACTGTGGAGGATCTAGGGAAATTTTGTCACGATCTGTCACCAAGCTTGTTACAATAGAAAACGTTGTTTTAGACAATAGTGCAGAATTTTGGCCACCAGACTGAAGATAATTAATAGTGGCGAAAGTACAAACTTTACATTTTAAAGCCTTAAAAGTAATTACCTGACGACTCAATGACATTGATCTCAGGCCTCAGTTTGTGAATCAGAAGACTTTCTCTCTGATGGAGGCTTCTTTCATCATTAGCCCTAGCTAAGATCTTAAACAAGATGGACGTGACGACTATGTCACAATCTTCTAAAGCATGTTCAACTATACTAGATTAGGTGGATAATCTGAAATTAATGTTGTTTTATATGTGTTATTTTCCTTTTGGTAACCCTAACTAAGGCCAATGAAGAAAGAAGCCTCCGTATAAAAAGTCTTCTGATTAAGTAACTGACACATGAGTTCTACGTCTCATTTGAATGATTTGTTTTTCCCATCTGAAGATGGACTTGTTATAGTCCAAAAGCTCATTGTCAAAGGAAGAAGGTTTGATCTGAATTTCGTGCAAAGCTGCTACTAGAGGATTACCTGCACTAGCCGTCTCTAATTTAACAGTGATAGATTAGAGGGAGAGCAACTAGTCAACACCACCCACCGTCAACTCTTGGGCTACTCTTTTACCAATGAATAGTGGGATTGACCGTTACATAATAACGCCCCCACGGCTGAAAGGGCGAGCATGTTGGGTGACGGGAATTCGAACTCGCATATTGCGAGTCGAGCCCCCTAACCACCAGGCCTTGCTAGGCCTAAGAGGAATGAGGTTATAGGTTTATTTTAGTTTGTGTTTTTAGCTTTTATGGAAGTGGAGGTTTTATTTATTATTTACTAAATGTTTTTATATTTTTGATTTTTTAAATAAATGCTGTCAATTTAATTAATTTAAGTGATTATTTCAGTTTCTTAGGTTATTATGATACAAGAATCTAGTAATTAGATTATGGTGGTAATATAAGTTAGTGTTATTATATACGTGCACTGGGTAATTTTTAGTGTAGGAGCTTGTAAGATAAATTATTTTTTAATTTTTCGTCTAGTCATGTGGGTGTTAGTTTATGAAGTCTTAACGTATATAATTATCTTAAGGTTTCCAGTGGGTATATCCATTGAAAAAAATGTAAATGTAAATATGGCAAGTCTGTATTAATCCTCTTTAGAAATACTGAAAAATTACATATGACATCGTCAAAAAATAAATTACATGTAATTCTAGGTAACAGCATGGATTCAAAATAGGAGTTTGTAGGTTAAGTAAATAATGTCTACAGTATCTCCAGCCTTGTTTCCTTACTTTTTTTACGATTCCTATTTGCAGATTTTTAAGTTCCCAAATTTTTATTTATCTTATACTTTATGGTAGTTCCACTACAAGTGAAATAATTTGCATGATAAAGATTTACTTTTTTTAGCCATCATTTATACTCTTGTCGTCTTCCAATCCAAGACTATTAAATATGATTTTTATATGCGAAATTCATTTATCCATTATGAAAAATATTTTTATAAATTTTATTAAAAATAGGCAGAAACCATACTGATCTAAATCCAAATCAGGTTGGGTTTCTTGGATATAATGCTCCGAAAACTGAATAAATTGTTATTTTTTAATCATATGGAAAACCCATACCAGAAATAGTTTATGAAAATAAGTTTAAAACACGAGAAAACAGTTTTATAACTTCCGCACACAACTCTTCCCACAATTCCCATTTCTTTATTACGATAACTATAAATAACAGTGCCTCCCCATTTGCAGTTTTAAAAAAATATATAATTTTGCATTCTCTGTTTTATTATTATTATACTTACTTAGTAAATTAAAAGCTAAGTAAAATAACTAATATTTTTATCATCTGTAACTTTAAATCTACCCTTCCATATTTCGTATATAAAAGAAATAAAATCATTTGGTGATTTGTTGAAATCAAACATACTCTATAGTTATCATCTGTATTATCTCCCATTTTCATACACAGTATAAGTTACTGTTACTCTTATTTCACGTTGTTTTTGTAAAAACATTAAGCGATATTTCTGGATCTTCTTTGGGATTTGAGATAATAGTGAGATGTAAATATAATGTTAAGTTTGAAATTTTTCTCCGCTTAATTAGCATTTTCCTCACATTTTTTTCTCCGCTTAATTAGCATTTTCCTCACATTTTTTCTCCGCTTAATTAGCATTTTCCTCACATTTTTTCTCCGCTTAATTAGCATTTTCCTCACATTTTTTCTCCGCTTAATTAGCATTTTCCTCACATTTTTTCTCCGCTTAATTAGCATTTTCCTCACATTTTTTCTCCGCTTAATTAGCATTTTCTTCACATTTTTTCTCTGCTTAATTAGCATTTTCCTCACATTTTTTTCTCTGCTTAATTAGCATTTTCTTCACATTTTTCAGTTTTACTTGCACAAAATATGTAATTATTTATAACACAATCATTGCTAATATTACTGCTACCGAAAATAGTTACTAAGAAATGTATTTTAATCTATTCTAATGTCAAAATAACTGATAATAGTTCAATTAAATCTCGGGTTATTTCTCTCCCAGTACTTATGTCTCACGTATGACAGCCTTCTTTAAAATGTGGTTAGGCTTAACGAACATTACAACTTAATATAATGCAACATTACCGTGATATCTTTCTGTTTCTCTTTTACTGACACAATCACAAATAATAATTACTTGCTCATACAACGTGAGACTGTTAAAAATAAACTTCGGTGGGTGGTTATATTTATTTGCGGCAATAAAGATTTTTATTGAAAACTTTAAAGCTAGCTAACAAATCGATTACATTGTAAAAATTAAAAATAGGAAACAGAAGTTGATTACATACCATTCCTTGACACAAGCTGATGCAAGCTCTGGACTTTTCATCGTCCTTCACGTGCCCCCTGTAGAAACAGTTAACATCTGTCCCAGAACTTGTCCAAAAGGTAATATTTTTAGTACCAGTTTCCAGCGTTTGAAGATGGAAGCGAGGAGAAAGAAAAGACTGTTCTCGTTGAAGTTCTAGGTGGAATGTTCGGTTAAATGCTGACAATCTGTAGTGTACAAAATAATCCCGTGTCTTTATTCTCCGCCAGCGGGGATGATCAGGAACGTAAGATCGTGGTTTCGCTGTGCCGACTCGTACCGGGTGTACATACTCTTTTAACGAAACTTCTGTAGAGAAAAGTGAGAAATATGACATAAAGTTAACAGCTCGGCCCTGAAGCTTCTGATTTCATACACACCCTCATTGTCTTCGTGGTAGACAAACATCACAATAATAAAAGATAAAATAATACCAATAAACTTTAGAGTTTTGTGATAAGTTACAAGCATTTGAGTTATCTTTCCAAGCAGTATACACCAGTTTCTTCACATAAATAATAAAGCAGAAGTAAGGGACATCTTATGAGATGCACGTCTAGAGAAAAGAACAAAAACAATTATGTATATCTATAAAGTAAGATACGCTTCTCATATTTTCAAACAGTTTCGCAAACTAATGTTGTACCTTAATATGTGATATGGTTGAAATATAAACATTTGTTTGGTCATTCTTCGTAATTAGGTGTTACACTTTGGCATTTAGGTGTCTTTAGTTTAACTAAAGTTTAAGTGGTATAAATAAAATCATCATACTCCTTCCTCGAGTAATTTTTAATAACAGATAATATGACCTAATTTTATAACTGAAAGAATCAGTCATTCGGGTTTCAAAAGTAAGCAATACTCGAATGATTTATGAGACAACTACCGAGCTATTAATTTAGCATTACAATACCGTAACTGTTTGGGCTTAGTGTGCAACAAAACAATTATAGAATCATTTTTAAATATGTGAAAAAAATTGTTTAAATAGTTAAAGTGAGATTGATAGAATAGCACTGAAGCAAACTGTTCTACTGAAGTTGGACATTTCGTAAAAGTGAATTTCTTACACTTTATTTTGTTTCAATAAATCACCATGTTTTATTTCTTTCTAACGATCGAGTTATTTGCCAAACGAATCCAAAGGAACATTCAATGCATATCACTTGCTGTCAGATAAAATACCTAAATATCTCAGAAGTACGTACACCGATATTTTGAAAACCTTTAACAAATAGCATAAACATTCGGAAATAACAGTTTATAAATTTGACAGAAAAACATAAAAAAGCAAGAAATTCGTTGAAAGTTTTGAAAAGTTCTGAAAATAATAATACAAAAGCAGATAAGTGTGACCTCAAATTTCGGTAAAATGTTCTAGAAGACACTGGATGCAAAAACGAGAACTTTCTTTTCTAATAAAGATACAAAAATACATTAACATACAAGGTGTTCGAAAAGTCTGAAACCGTAGGCACTTCAAGGATTTTTACAGAATGTGTTTCACGTGCTGTCCTCAAAACAAGTTTGGATTAAGAGTAGGATTAACTTGACCTTTTCATGTTTTAACATTGCCATATTCAGTGACGTACCTAAAATTATGAAAAGATACAAATCACCTATGATTCCTATCATCTTTATCTAAATCATCCTCTAGCTGTTCTTTGAACCAGTTTTTGTTTGTTTATTGGATTTCGTTCGAAGCAGCTCGAACGCTATCTCCGCATAGTCGCCCCAAAGTTTGAAGTGATAGCTTGGAGGGAAGGCAGCACCATCCCACGCCGACTCTTGGAATACTCTTGTCAGACCATATTACTGTTTGCAATATAAAGCGTGTCCGAAAAGTTTGAATTAGACCTATTATTATCAGATAGTAGACCAGCTTAGTGAGAAACCTAAAAACTGCTTCTCACAACGTTTCGTATCAGAGAATAGGTTACAATACAACTCCGTAATGTACAACTTGTGCTTGACCGTATGTACTTATTCAAACGTTAAATCCTGTTAGTTTTTACAGCAATAATAAATGAAAAATTAATTACGTTAATATTGCACTACACACATTACCTTTAGCAACAATAACACAATATCTTGCATGAAAGTTACTTTTAATATCAAGTTGCAATCGTGGACAATGCATTTCATTTATACATTTAGCAAAAGTTTTACTTATTTCTTGCACTAAATCTACTTATCAGATACACTGAAGACAATGTACTCGCTTAGACAAGTAATAATGGAATATTATAGAAAATGGCGATAGAACAAAAGCTACTGGACAAGTTTAAAACAGTCCAACTACATGCCAACTGTTGCAGTAAACGGTTGAATGTCCTGAGCGTTCTAAAAGTTGCTCGGTAGAGTTAAAATACATTTATTTTCTTCACGAAATTTAAATGTGAAACAAAAAGCTGCTAAAACTATAATGTCATTATGTTTAAACACAAATCTTCAAAATAGAAACACAGAGTGAATAAACGATGAAGTAGACTCTCAATAGCCTACTTCTAGTACGCCAAAAGAAGAGGGCAGCACTGTTATATGAATTTCTAACGTTCTTTTAATAATGACTGTTTACTGGATATTAATTAGGCAGCGAAAATATATGTTTACCGAGGTGAAGAAATGACAAAACAAATTTACTGAAATGTAAAAAAAGGAGTAAATGTTTTTTTATCAAGAGAGTGACCTACGTAATAAAAAAAATTCACAATGTCGTGCAAACGGGTTAAAATGCAAAGAAAAAGTAAAATGCCCCACACTGTTATCGTTTAAGAATATATATGATAATTGGTTAAAGTAGCTAAAACAAGCATATACAAGTTTGTTGCAAATTGAGATAAAAATTTCCTTAAAATATTTATCACATACACAGTTTTAAATAAGAAATATTTCGTTCCTGAAACGGAACTTTGGATTGGCCAAGATGGAACTTACCAGCTAAATTTTGAAATTGAATTTAGTATTGACATTTCTAGAGTCCAGGAAGGTCCAGGAGTCACAGATGCACCAATACTAGCGGTAACAAGTGTACACCAAAGATATTCTCCTATTCCATACTTTACCGTAAATAGTAATTTAGGTTGGAATTTTGGGAAGGAAAAGAAGTGGCTGACCTAATCTTATATTTACCATTTCAATTTCTCTAATGTTTTATTTTGTCACTGTTGGTAAAGAGTAGCCCAAGAGTTGACAGAGAGTGGTGTTGACTAGCTGCCTTCTCTCTAGTCTATTATTTCTAAATTAGGGACGGATAGCGCAAATAGTTCTCGAGTAGCTTTGCACAAAATTCAACAAAACAAACAAACAAACATTGATCCCAATCTTCATTGAAACTAAATACTTGAAAGACCGGCCAACACTTGATAAACAACAACTAGGAAACCACACGTTGAAAACTTTACTTTGACATTTCCTGCTCGTTTAAAGCAAAATACTAATTTTTGTATTTATAATCTAGTCATGTTTCTAGATAGTTCGCAAAGTTACTAGATCTTGAACGTTCTAGGCCTACTCCCATAGGTTTACTTGATCTTAAAGTCACGAGCCCGTTAGTTAACATCTGAATTAAAACATGGAAAATATAGCCCACAACAGTATATAATATCCAGTATCAACATAACACTCAGTAAGCCTCGTTTTCCCACCGTATTCCAGGTTTCTCAGACGCTTGATACAAATATTACTACAACCTATTGGACACATTAATGTGTAGGTGGGTTGATTCTGCTCATTTTGTAATACAACTTTTAAAATGGATTTTTCAACGTACGTTATATTTTTTTCTTATGAGCTACATGTTTTCTTCTTTGTCAAAAAGAAACCAGTTGCTTGAAACAGGACTTTTTGAATGAACCGAACTTAGGTTTTTTCCTATAGAAATATTTTAATGACTATAACATTAGTTGTTGATTATTGGTTTTATTTATACTGTTGCGCCTCTGTAAAACTTCTAAGTACAATTACTGCCATGAGTAGTTACTCCAGCAATGTCCCTTTTATCCCTCCCATATGATTAATTGTCTATGTGCTAGGGGCTATCAACAAGACATGCACTGTTTTTGTCCAGCTCATTCCTTATTGGTGCTCATGGCCGCGGGCTCCAGAAATTCAAACGTATCCAATTTCAGTTCCTTGCTAGTACAATAAGTTTTAAAGATATTCGGTTGAGTATATGAAGAGTGACGATAAGAATCTCATTGAAATGTTCAAGCCCTATTTCACCCAAAGAAATAGTCGTTTGTCGGTCCCTCAGGGGTACGTTTTTTTAAGCCACCCCCCACCCCTTAGTAGCAGATAAATTATTTTTACGGTTTAAAGCAAACGATACAGGAATAAAACACGTATTTAATAGCTATACTGGATGTCATAAAATATAAAAACGAGTTCTAGAAGTCTACTTTAAGAAGAAAAATACAAACATGTGGGCTCATTAGAAGTTTGATAATAATTAATTGTAGTGCTTAGGTCAGCAATACGCACAATCGTAATAACTTTCAAGTCTTATATTCTCTGTACGTACAACCATAATAACGTCCGCAGTATGTATAATCGTAGTAAAATTCAGATCTTAGATCCCGAGTACATACAACAACAATAATATTTTGATCATAGAACCCAGTATGAACTACAGTAATAACATTCAGATATTAATTCCAGAACAGATATAACATTCAGATCTTAGATATTCTGTACGTACAGTTGTAATAACATCTATAAGTGAGGTCCGCAATATGTACAATCGTAGTAAAATTTTGATCCTAACCCACTGACTGCTAATTCACCATATAGGGTACAGTCTGCCTCCAGCAATTGAATGCAAGTTTGCTGTATGCACTCGTAAAAATTCCGCGCCCATTTAAAGCAGTCATAGGGTTAAATCCCAAGTACGCACAACAGTAATAACACCTAGATCTTAGATCCACACTCCGTAAAACCGTAATAACTTGTTATTACGGTTTTACGTAGTGTGGATCTAAAATCTGTAAGTTATTACGGTTTTACGGAGTGTGGATCTAAAATCTGTTTGCAGATTTTAGATCCACACTACGTAAAACCGTAATAACATACAGATTTTAGATCCACACTCCGTAAAACCGTAATAACATACAGATTTTAGATCCACACTCCGTAAAACCGTAATAACTTACAGATTTTAGATCCACACTACGTAAAACCGTAATAACATAAGTTAGGTCTACAGTACGTACAACTGTAGTAACATTCTGGTCTTATATGTTTGTTTGTTATGGATTTCGCGCAAAGTTACACGAGGGCTATCTGCGCTAACCGTCCCTAATTTAGCAGTGTAAAACTAGAGGGAAAGCAGCTAGT